AATAATGACCGGTCCCTGATCACACCTAGAAAGAGCATCGTAAAATGAGGAAAGTATAGCGTGAAGTTCGCAAATTTTGTAGATATTTGCATTACACGCGGGAAAAAAATAACCATTTTTGAGAGGAAAGTGGTTATTTTTACCGCGCGTAAATGCGTAATACAAATATATACAAAATTTGCGAACTTTACAGAGCTTTCCGCTTCCTTTTACAACATTTAGCAACCAATCTTTCTAGTTTTACTCATTCTAAGACAATCGTTCTGGCTGTGGTGTTGGATTTCGTTCTTCTTCCCTAGATCAGAATTACCCATTGAGAAATGTTGTCTTGCTTCTGAGAGAGTCAAAATTTCGGAAGTTGATCAGCGTCTGCTGCCCGATATAACTCGAAAAACATGTAGAAAAAAGACTTCTTAGTAGAAATGTTGTTTTTCTAGGTTTTTCAGTGGCGAGAAAGTGATAAATATTTAAGAGATTGTCGTTGGACCATAAAGAAACCATTATCAATACGAGATATTGCTTGTGGGAAAAGTCTGCATATTGTAACAGGTTGGTCTCCTTGACATTCACAGAGTTGGAAAAAATAAATTAAATTATCCGCTAGTTACAAGATGTGATGGTGTTGGTCTTGCGGTATACAGTTGTCTGGTTATGACTGAGCTCATGTGAGAAGAGTGCTTCCAGTTTGACTAAACACTCCAGTTTTTCTCCAAGATTGGATCGATAAGAGATGACGCTTCCTGGACCTCTAGGAAGAACAATTTAGAAGTGATAGATCTATCCAGTATTAATAAAGTTAGTTTAGTTTAGGTTTCCTCCTGTAGAAAGATTGGATCAATAAGAGATGATCCTTACTGGATCTCTAGGAAGAACAGTTTAGAACTGATAGAGCTATCCAGTATAAATAAAGTTACTTTAGTTTGTGTTTCCTCCTGTAGTAACACTGGATCAATAAGAGATGATCCTTACTGGACCTCTAGGAAGAACAGTTTAGAATTGATAGAGCTATCCAGTATAAATAAAGTTAGTTTATGTTTCCTCCTGTAGTAACATTGGATCAATGAGAGATGATTCTTACTGGATCTCTAGGAAGAACAGTTTAGAATTGATAGAGCTATCCAGTATAAATAAAGTTAGTTTAGTTTATGTTTCCTCCTGTAGTAACATTGGATCAATAGAGACCTTAAGATTGACGTTTACGGCAAACGTCAAACCGCTAGCGAAGTTTTTGATTTTACAGCTCTATTATTGTAGCTTTTACACCAGTTTTGAAATATGTTAAACTGATTAAACTTCTGCTCTTTAGCAATGATTTAAGAAAGAAAATTAACCACTAGTCATGCCATTCACCAAAGCAGTAAATGAAGATTTGGCGTTTGAAGTTGACGTTTGACGTATAAATTTCATGCTTTAACGACTATACAAGCCCTCGTAGCAGTTCAAGCATGAAATCTATACGCCAAACGCCAACTTCAAACGCCAAATCTTAATTTACTGCTTTGGTGAATGGCATGACTAGTGGTTAATTTGCTTTCTTAAATCATTGCTAAAGAGCACAAGTTTAATAAATTTAACATATTTCAAAACTGGTGTAAAAGCTATTATAATAGAGTTGTAAAATCAAAAACTTCGCTAGCGGTTTGACGTTTGCCGTAAACGTCAATCTTAAGGTCTCTAATGAGAGATGACACTTACTGGACCTCTAGAGCGAAGAGTTTAGAACTGATGTCCAGTATAAATAATACATATAGAATAAGTATATTGCTTTTAAAATTCATCTAAAGAAGAGTGTCATTCTTTTCTGTCTTTCTTTCTTTCTTTGCAGATCAGGGTGAAGTGTACGTGGAAGATGGAGCGAATGCGTGCGTGAAGAAGCCCGTCAAGATTTCTTCCCGAAACCAGAATGTTATTAAAACTAACCATGCTCTCAAACAGGACGAATTCGTGGAAATGCCATTAACCCGTGTGCGTCATACTCACAGAGCTGTTAGAATCATTTGTGATAAATATTCACAAAACATAGCTGTTCTACAAGCGCATCCTTCATTTGGGTGAGTGAAGTTCAGTTTGTGTATTGCTACATTTCATATTGTAACATGTCCAAGAATTGAGAAAATTAATCTAGACATCACTCAATTGTATTTATTTACCACCAAATACAAGACTGTTAGATGTAGTGAAAAGAATGAACATTATTTTCTTACTCTAGTAATTCTGGTAACCAATAATCGTCGCTATAACCTGAGCCTGTGTACAGATTATTACAGCATAATACAGTGTGTACACAGGGTTGCTATAACCTGAGCCTGTGTACAGATTATTACAGCATAATACAGTGTGTACACAGGGTTGCTGTAACCTGAGCTATGTTTTTTTTCAGATGTTCAACCATCCCTCATGTTTCACCGCCAGAAATGACGAATGATATGAAAACATTGTTTGAAGACCGAAGCGACAGCCATGATTTGGAAATGAAGGTATATAAAGGAACGTTGCCTAGGGCTAGCATTTCTAAACCCGAGTCACTTACATCAACTCTCGTCACAATTTGAAAGATGGTTGGCAATCAAAATGGTTGTCAGTCAAACGCCAGAGTTGCAACTCTCATCAATTCTCATCGTCGTTTGACCGCTGCTTAAAGGCACAGTTCGACTTTACGAATGATGGTTTTTAAGGCGCATTTCAGCCCTTTTATTAAAAAAACTAACTAGGAAAATCAATTATGCATAATTCAAGATCAGTAAACTCGATGTTTTTAACAACAAAATGTTTTAAAATGTTAGAAACATTAAGTTTGCTAATCTTGAATCATGCTTAATTGATTTTCCTAGTTAGTTTTTTCAATTAAAAGGGCTGAAATGCGCCTTAAAAACTATCATTCAAAAGGCTGAACTGTGCCTTCAACTCTGAGCCCTCAGTTGTCACGCACTTTTATCATGTGCTCGTGGGCTCACGTGAACAACCTGTGTAATGGTCATTAAACAACTCATTGTCATTTCAGGTAAAAGAAAAAACCATCTACGCTCATCAGGTTGTACTTGCGCAGGGCAGTGATAAACTCCGAACTTTGATAAACGAGTGTAAGCAGGAAGTGTGTCTGGAATACTCTCAGACTCCGCTCATCTATCTCGACGAGGAAGATATTGAGATCATGAATGAAATGATTGAATTTCTTTATACTGGAAGTTGTGCTTCATTACCTCTGCGTGATGGCAAGAACTGTGAGAGACAACTGACTGATGAAGATATACTGGATGAACTAGCATTGGGTTTACAGGATGTTGATTTCGACAATCTTGATACAGGTGAGTTTCACTGTAGATACGGCACAGCAAGTGAGACGACACGGCAAGCCTGAAGGGAAATACAGTAATCAGAAATGACTTTCCGTGTTAATAGCTTGAACTGGTGTCACAAGATTAGGGTGAGGGTTAGAGTTGGTTGGAATGCGAGTTACTAGTGCCTGCTTTGCTGGCTAGATTAGGATAGGAGTCAAGATTCAGATTATGGGTTCAGATTAGGGTTTGGGTTGGAAATGGGATAAGCAGCAATCTTTTGTGGAAGATACAACTTTGAATAATAGAAAAAGAACACAGCGAAGGTTGTTGGTCTGTTATGAGTGTTATCAGAGTTCCATAACTACAGTATCAATGCATTATTATACTTGAAATTGATCACCATTGTCTTCACTGACATCCAGCCATATCATATCTAGTGTACTTTGAGCCTGAACCTGTCAAGCGAGACAAGAAGTCAACGCGATCAAAGAAAAACAAAAAAGATGGTGGAAATAAAGATTTGGGAAGTGCAGGAAGTGAATACTCTGGAGAGCTGTCAGGAAAGAGAAAAGAATTATTACGTGTTGCGAAGAAGTATCGGATTACTGAACTCTTTTCACGGTACGTGAATATTCCTGTAAATGCATGTGTGTTTGCTTGTCTCGTGGATTACTCCGCTTTCCTTCCTCTTCCACCATGATCTTAATCTTCGTTCTGTTGTTGTGTTTGCTGCAGGCTCCAGGATTCAGACCAAAGTGAAATGAGACAAAGGTGTTTTCACAGAAGCAAGCTGTAAGTTCAAATTGCTGTGCTGAGTGGTTATATTACTACCTGAAAAAAAAAAACAAGCAGAAACTCGACGTTTCGAGCGAAGGCCCTTCGTCAAGAGTTAGTACTTAGTAGCCAAACTTGACGAAGGGCCTTCGCTCGAAACGTTGAGTTTCTGCTTGGGTTTTTCAGATAGTAATATAACCACTCAGCACAGCAATTTCACATTGGTACTACCCACACTGGTACAGACAGTTTTAGCTGTAAGTTCACGCATTCTTGGTCTGAGTAAGCGCTACAGGACACGTTGGCAACTTCACAACTAAATAACACTTTCTAGGAGCAAGAAAATTAAATCAGGAATCTCCAATTTCTATTTATTTGCTTCCAAATACAAGATTGCTATATATCATGAAAACATCATTTTCTCACTCTGATAACTGTAGATTGGGCACCATCTGCTGCACGAAAGTGCTTCGTGGAAACCTATCAATTTCATAAAAACCAATACCAGCCGACAATTTCAAAAAATATAATACAAAACATAATCCGAAGATAAGCATCTTGAAACCCAAAATATGAGTCAAACAAGAAAGTGAGTGAGTAATATTTCGATTTTATTACAAAATCATCATCAGACTAACTCAGTTAGTCTGATGATGATTTTGTAATAAAATCGAAATATTACTCACTCACTTTCTTGTTTGACTCATATTTTGGGTTTCAAGATGCTTATCTTCGGATTATGTTTTGTATTATTTCAATTTCATGTTTCTGAATATTGTTTAGTTCTGAATATTGTGATGTGGTGATGGAAGCTGAAGATGAAGTGGAGTTTTCCTGTCACAAATGTATACTTGTCTCGCGTCTTGGTGCGTAATTTGGTTGATATTTACTCATGAATTATTGAGTTTGAGATATTTGATTGAACACGACTTTGTTTTCTTTCATATTTCAGAGTATTTCTCAATGATGTTAACGACTGGTTGGATGGAGGTACATAAACGAACTTTAAAATTTTAACACATTAGTATTTGTTATTTCATGATTGTATTTTTTATTTTTCTAGTCTTCTGAAGAATTTGTTCGTCTGAAAATGCCGATACCATCGCGCGTTCTTAAAGTTATCATTGAGTTTCTCTACACCGACGAAGCTCCTACAGTTAAGGGTATCTGATTTACATGAGAATGTTAAACTTTTCATTAATATATAGTATTCTTGTAATTATGTCCTTTGATAATTTTTAGATAGCAAGGACTTGGAGTTTCTTGGAAAGGTCTTGACTGTTGCCGACCAGGTTAATACATTTTAAACAAACTAAACTTTATTTATATTTGTTCTTCCAAGAAGTCCAGTAAGCATCATCTCTTATTGATCCAGTGTTACAACAAGAGGAAACCTAAACTAAACTACCTTTATTTATACTGGATAGCTCTATCAGTTCTAAACCGTTCTCCCTAGAGGTCCAGTGAGGATTATCTCTTATTGATCGAGTGTTACAACAAGAGGAAACCTAAACTAAACTAACTTTATTTATACAGGATAGCTCAATCAGTTCTAAACTGTTCTTCCTAGAGGTCCAGTAAGGATCATCTCTTATTGATCCAGTGTTACTACAGGAGGAAACCTAAACTAAACTAACTTTTTTTGCACTGGATACCTCTATCAGTTCTAAACTATTCTCCCTAACGGTTCATTCACCTGACGATTTTTCTTGCAGCTTTGGATTATCCGATTAAGAGAAATGTGCGAAGCAACACTGGCATCGTTGAGTAAGTTGATTAGATAAATACTTAATTGTAAGAAATACCTAATTGTCACTCACAAGAATCGCTAATTTTGCTCTTTCAGTTTCTTTGAAGAATGCAATTGAAATGCTGGAATTTTCGTGTTTGTACAACGCAGAGAAACTGAAGAATGTGTGTCTGGAGTTTATATGTATGAACGTTAGTTCCTTGTTTGAAGCAGGGTAAAGTTTGCAAGTTTTTATCTTATAGACAATGACTTACCAAACAGTCCGCAATTATGAATTTAAAAACGAATAATATGTAGAATAATAAATATATTTTTACATAATAATAATACTAAATTTTCTTGTTTCTTACAACAGAAGTCTTGAAATGTTGAGTGAAGATGTGTTGGATGAACTTTCCAAAGCTTATCGACAAATGGTAAGTCTCTCTTCCAATGGTTTCCTGTCTGATTATATAATATCGCCTCAGAGGAAAGTGCTTTTAGTTTGATTCTGCCAAGCACCGCATTTCTCCCGATGATCCTTACTGGACCTCTAGGGAGAACAGTTTAGAACTGTTAGAGCTATCCAATAAAGTTAGTTTAGTTTAGGTTTCCTCCTGTGATTTCCTCCTGTAGTAACACTGGACCATTCAAGAACTGGATCTTTAGGGTGAACAGAAAAATGCCAGTTCAGACATTTTACATGAAAACGTCGTATTTAGATACCTCGTGTGTCTTGGCGTGTGATCACCCCTAATGATGTTCATCTCTCGGTCCCATGGCCTCAGGCTGAAAGTCCAAAGACCAAACGTAAGACTTCTCGTTCTCAGAGGAAGTCCAGAACAAGCGAAAGTGACGTCACAGAAGAATGCGCGGTCCGACAGAATGGAACCGAAGTGGTGAGTTTATCGTATAAAGCCGTTGGATGAGTACAAATTTTTTTCTTCAAAATGTCGTACAAATGTATACAAGTTAACACTTTGTGTTGGCGACACAGTGAATGTTATTGCTTATGTTTTTCACTTCTTTGACTATCTATGGCTTGATTCTTGCAATGATGTACTGTAGTTGTCTCATTGGTTTTTTTTTCGTTGCAAGTTGTTTCCAGTAAAGTAAAACAGAACCAGTAAGCGATGGCCCTAACTGAATCTCTGGAGAACAATTCAGAACTGATAGAGCTATCCAGTATAAGTTAGTTTTATTAAGTTAGTTTAATAAGTTAGTCATTATTTCCACTTTATTTAGAGTGAATTGGCGAAAGAAAATATTGAAGTGGAAGAGAAATTAGCTGAAAATAAACAGAATGTTGATAAACATGACAACGTCCTGGCTTCAGAAAGCAAATCAGAGAGTAGAAATTCTTCCCAAGACGTTGTGCATGTGGGCAAAACTGAAAAGTCTAACAATGGACTATGGTACCAGAAATCTTCGTCCGACTGTCCGACACTTGTCAATCCCGTGTTGGCTACGAAAAAAGTGCAGAAAACTGGATCTAGTCCACGTCCAGTTGGCAGTCGAAAAAATGTAAGTTTGTATATACGTTTTATAAGAATGTATGTATTATTTGTTGTTCATGACATGTTTGTGGATATATTTATTTGTGATACTCATGTGAAACAGATTATCCTAAGATATTGTTTTTGTTAGAACGAGTCTGACGAGAAGCAGCCATGGGGGAGTCAGAGGTATTTCTTCGATTTTCATGTAGCCCGGTGTAGAGCTTACTTGCAGCTTAATCTTGATTGTATTTTTTAAATCTCACAATAAAGTTTTATTTTACATTGCTGTATGATTTTACATTGTTTCTTACTTTTCAGTTTGAGTCCACAATCGTCTAACTTGCGAACTATCATGGAACAACAGGAAAAGAAAGTACAGCTTGAGAAACCAAGGAAAGAAGGCAAAAGGTGGGAAAGTTGTTGAAGAAATGCCTGTAATAATACTAGGAAGAACAGTTTTGAACAGATATAAATACAGTTAGTGATGAATAGACATAATGGATAGATTTTTTTGTCTTTTCTAGTCCACTGTCTGGCAAGACTCGACTGTCTCAGAAAGAACGTAAGAAAATATGGAGATCTGCTGAAGAACAAGATTCATTACTTCACAACAGCAGCGAACCTCCTGAACTCAATGGTCATGATATTGCAACGTCACCAGTTAATCCATGGTATGTCTGTCTCTCACCATAACACCTTTCATGGTATGTCTGTCTCTCACTATAACACCCTTCATGGTATGTCTGTCTCCAACCATAACACCCTTCATGGTATGTCTGTCTCCAACTATAACACTTTTCATGGTATGTCTGTCTCCAACCATAACACCCTTCATGGTATGTCTGTCTCCAACCATAACACCCTTCATGATATGTCTGTCACCCACCATAACATGCTTCCCAAACCACAACCCAAACCTTCCCAAACCACAACCCAAACCCAAACCCAAACCTTCCCAAACCACAACCCAAAGGGACGGATATTTTCACACCTTTTTATGGAATATCTTTCATGAAGATTTTTGTTTTTTAGGAATAGTTTTTCTCCTCTGTCGAGACCATCCCTGTCATTCAGAGAACTGCTCCAGGAGGAGGAGAGCCTGGGAACGAGTGTCTCTAGTCCCAAAAAGAAAAACAAAGTAGTGAAACGCAATTTATTTGTAGCTGATGAAAAATGCCAAACTACAAGGTAGCAACAATGCATGTCAATTCTCAACAACTCTTATTCTCGTTTGACTGGGACGTGTATATTTTAAGAAATTTTTGCATGCTCTACTTTACTTTGAAAAATGTTAAATGTTTCTCTCAATTTCAGCGCGTGGCAACAGAACAATGTTGCATGTTCACCTCCCAATAATTCTAACATGAAGTTCGACAAAATTCAAGAACTTCAAGAACAAGAAACTGCAAACCGAGAAAGGTAACGCGAACGTCAAATGTTTTATCACGCACGTCCTAATCACCGACTAAGTATTTTCTTAATCTATCTCCTAATGAACCCTGCTTTATCTCACTCTGCGGAATGACATTCTGATTTACTCGTCAAGGTAGAGTGTTGGTATTATTGGGTTAACCTGAGTTTTATCGTCTCTTGAAACACTTTCTCGTTTTCTTTAAGGGATATGAAGAAGCCATTATCATTGATCCAGGTAAATCAATACAGATAGCCTAGATTGAGAGAGATATGACGACTAGTTCCTCGGGTAGAGGAGAACTGATCACGTGATCGGCTAGTTGTGTTGTTTGTGGCGTCAGATATAACCCAATCTCTAAGCCTAATCCTTAATCTAACCATAACCCTAACCCCAACACTAATCACTATAACTAACTGATGACGTAATATGTGATGCAAATTGTTCTACCCGAGGAAGTACCCGATATGACTACCTGGATAATATAAGCACAACTTCGACGTTTCAAGCAAAGACCCTACGTCCGGAATTCGTAACCACCACGGTGAAGTGTTTTTCGTACACAAACCACGGCCACTTCCGTCGATCACTACTACAGTATGTCAGATTGGCCAGAATAATGCTTACGTATTATTTTATTTTTCTTCAGATCGAGGACAAAGCGATTGAGCAACTCCTAGAACACTACGGTGGCAGATACAATCCTTGCGAGTATATTGTCGTTGAGCGGCAAACACGATCAGCGGGCAGTCCTGATTGGGTGAAATAAGTATTCTATATACCTGTTCGCAGGCTAGAAACTCCATGAGACTGCATTTATAAATTAGTGAGGTGGTGGCAACCTTATTTATCACTCTGATAACTGTCGGTTGATCATCATCATATCACAATAGTGCTTGGGAAAACCATTGATCTCCATATGTATCTGTATTAAGAAATCGAGTCCAAAAACTTGGCTTCACTTTTTTCATAGGAATGGACCATTCCCCAATTAACCAAAATTTTGAACTCAACAAGTCTAGACAAAAATTTCATCACAGCTTGAAAGAGCATCACAAAATTAGTAATATTCCAAAGTTTCGTTGCAAAATGTTGTAAAATGCGGATAATATAACCTTGCGAAGTTTGCAATTTTCAGACATTTTAGATTACAAACGGGAAACGGTTACCACTGCTGTGCGTAATACAAAATGATTGAGAACTACAAACTTCGCAAGGCTATATTATCCGCATTTTACAACATTTTGCAACTATATTTTGGAATATTACTAATTTTATGATGCTCTTTCAAGCTGTGATGAAATTTTTCTTTAGGCTGTTAAGATCAAAATTTTGGAAAAGTGGTAACCATTTCCCGTTTGTAATCTAAAATGACTGCAAATTTCGCAAGGCTATATTATCCGCATTTTACAACATTTTGCAACGAAACTTTGGAATATTACTAATTTTGTGATGCTCTTTCATGCTATGATGGAATTTTGTCTAGACTTGTTGAGATCAAAATTTTGGCTAATTGGGGAATGGTCCATTCATAGGCAGAATGACTGGCGTTCTTGGTCCAGATAATATATAGAGCTCACTCGGTGAAACCCAGCTATTTGTAGTTTCATCAATCTTTTACCCAAAGCATGGCTGTTGGAAGGTAGGTGCTTGGCTCTCAGTACGAAATTGTTGTTATAAATAAAAGAAATGAACAGAATCAGAGATATTATCTACATCAATATATATGTCGGTCAAATCGTAAAAAAATAAAAATTTAACTGTATTTACAAATACATTAAAAGAAGTTAAATTAAGAAAACGAGTTAATTAAATTGCTTTATTTTCGTGAAATATTAAGAACTTGTGACAAACAAAAGAGTGTTGTATTGGGAATTTTATGATATGATATTTCAACTGTAATACTATTTTTACAATATATTTTTAAAAGTGTGCTCTGGTAATACATCAAGTTGTTTATACCTGATAATTCTAACAGTTTGTGTAAACTATTCTTCTCTGAGGTCCAGTAAGAGTCATCCTTATTCTTCCAATATCGTAAAGAAAGAAACCAGAATGCTTGGAGTAATTATTTGGTAGAGTCAAACTACAGAAGCACTCTTCTCTCATACAATTCATGTGAAGTTCTAATCTGCCAACTGTACATTGCGCAAATTAAATCGCGGTGACTGTTGTGAAGGACAGCATGGACTGTTCCACCACTAGCTGTGATAACCAGCTATTTCAAGGAAGGATTAATATCTGATCCAAAATCATTCAGTTTCTCTAATATTTGACAATAAGATGAACAAGTATATAGTTCATTGTTTGCTATAATGCTACAACGGTTGTCAACATATAATTGTTACATTGTTACTGGTACCCGTCGAATGCATTGAACACGACCGTCAACACATTGCTTCCTCTTTTACTAATAATGGAGTATATTTCTATATTATACCAGAATTGTTGCCGCTAGTTAAAGAACTTGGATTTTAAATTTGAAGGTTTTAGCCGGAGAATGCGAGGCGCTTTCCTGCCATGGGTAAGTAGAGGGAATTTTGCACAGTCAAGAGTAATAGTTAATTCTCAGCTGGGGAACAAATGTATCGCTCTTTGATCTTTGTTACCTGTGACAATATCGTTTGCACACACTAGATATTACTGGTTTAACAATTTATTATTGAGTTATCAATTTTAAATTGTAGTGACATTTTAAAACGATTTCCATTTGTCAACGTAGATAGCGTGTCCAATCGAATATAAAATTATAGTTCATGTAGAGCAGATATTCTTTGGATATAAGGGATTACAGGCCATGTTATAATGTTATAACCCACAATAAATACTTATTCTAGCGCCATAATAACGAGAACAATTTCCATTTTCCTGTAGTATGTTGGAAGCTCGCTCTCTCAGCAATTTTGGTTCTTGTGGATGTGGTTATAATTTGTGCAAAACAAGGTAAAGTGATTCTTTATTACAACCACTATACGATTATCAGTTATTTCGCAAAGCTTTTCCATGGCCTTTTATCCGCCTGACCGTTCCTGCAGTACATACTTGTCTGATGTCATTTCACTTCAGTCACATGTGAGAAGAAGAAGTCTCTTGGTACTCTTGCTACTGTTTCTTTCCATAGTAACACTGGAATAATAGGGGATGACCTTCACTCGACCTTATAGGAGAACAGTGTAGAACCGATAGAGCTATCCAGTTTGAAGTTAGTTTAATAATTGCAAGTGCAAGCATGTGATCTAATGTTTCCATTATATTCTTGCAGCTGATGGAGGAGAAAGAAATGGTTCCAAGAAAACCAGAACTACTGATGGAATTTCTTTCCTTCTCAAAAGAGACCTTGAAAAACTTTTGCCAGAAACAGACTTGAGATCATTAAAATTGCAAATAAGAAAGACAACAAACACAAATGAATTTACAACAACAAGTGACTTTTGCAAACACAGAACGTCGCCAGAATGCAAAGAATTCAGACTTCAACAAAGTCGAAAGAAGCCACTAAAATTACGCCGTCGGCGAACAAAGGAGACTGAAGGAGCTACAAGGACTCTCATTATAGTAAAAGGCAATCAAGAGATTAGCCGGGAATATATGAAACAACATCATGCCTTTAAACCTGTACTCAGAGCTTTGAAACAAAGAATTGAAGATTTAAAAGCGAGAAGAAAGGGAGGAGGACTGAGCAGTCCGGATAACCACACAACTAATAATATTACGTCATTACGTCACGTGACAAAATTTCCAAATTTATATCTTGTGCGCAGTGCATCACGGGATGCAGGCGGCGGCAAGAAACAGGACGTCCTAAGCACAGCTTATACGGAAGTTACCGATGCCCGTACGTCATCTCCCGAAGTGAGCCCATACTGGGAGATTCTTGGTACAATACATACATACGAAGCTCCGAAGAAGATTGTGCTGAAAGCTCAGCATAACGAAACACTGCCAGATCCTTATACAAAGACTCTTCTCTCAACCCTGCCCATGTACGATGATAGAGTTCTCAAGAAAGCCACGTCTGGAATGCAGATTTTTGTAAATGATTCGGAAAAAGATAAAACACTGCCAGATGCTTATACAAAGACTCATCTCTCAACCCTGCCCATGTACGATGATAAAGTTCTCAAGAAAGCCACGTCTGGACTGGAGATATTTGTAAAAGATTCAAAAAAAGAGAAAACACATGTCAGACATTCGTCCCATAAAACTCTCACTGGTACGCTAGCATCCTCATCGGGACTAGGTGACGTCACAACTACATCATCAGTATCTGGTGATATTACCTCATCTTTTACCACCGACGTGCCCCCAATTGCATCTACATCATCCGACATCACAACCGGAAGTATGTCGTCAGAGAATGATGACGTCATAACATCAAAAAGTCCGGATGACGAGTCAAGTATTTCCGTCGAGGAACTATTTAACGACGATGACTTGAAGTCTTCGGCGAAGATTGACCGATTGCTTTCCGATGATAAGACGACCGACGCTTTAGCGAAAGAGATCGCTAACTTACTCACAGACGACCCAGCTAATTCTTCTGAAAATCCAAAAGCCTCTCCGAACGATTTGGCGATTATTACCGATGATGCGCCGGTTGAGCAGAAAACGTCCCGGCCGGTTACCGATGTAACTCCGGTCTCCTCCGAAGAAGCGGTGTCTTCAGCGCAGATGTCTTCGCCTCTTACTGTGTCCACTGCAACTCAACAATGTGTAGCAAAGAGAGGACTGGGCTCTACAGAATGTTCCCTTTCAATGATCTGTTGTTCAGCTTGTTGCCCACTTGGTAAGATATACTCTTGAATGTCAGATAACACAACTACAATGAACCTATTACCTAACGAACAAAATTTTGATCTAGACAAGTCTAGACGCACGGGAAATTGATGCCTCTTTCTGAAAAAAGGTATCAATTTCCCGCGCGTAATACAAAATGACTGAAAAACGGCAAACTTCGCAGGGCTATATCATCCGCATTTTACAACATTTCGCAACGAAACTTCGGAGTATTAGTAATGTTGTGATGCTCTTTCAAGCTGTGATGAAATTTTCGTCTAGACTTGTCTAGATCAAAATTTTGTTCATTAGGTAATAAGTCATGCGCCACTCCTCGACATTTGACTTCTACCGGCTTAATACGCATCTGATTAGTTCATTGGGTAGATTAAAGCATCTGATTGGTGAATGGTAGCCTGCTTGCCCGATTTTAGGGGCCGCCTGCCATGCAGGCTAGGTGAATGGTAGCGATAGTCAGAATCTGAATCTCTCTAATATTGATTTTTTCAGATACATGTCCATTGAAAGATATTTTTAAGAAGGATGAAATTCCAGGTCTGTTAACCTAGCTAAAATAAGTTGAAACGTGTTTACGTAGAGAAATTTGTATAAAGTTGTATAAATATAGGCTTATATAGAGGAGAGAGAGTAATTGAAATATTTCTGTGTTTTAGATGACTGCAATTGCAAGAGTCAAATCGGTAAGACAGTAAATTTAATATCGTCAGAAAAAAGTTCCTATTCTCACATGAAACTGTCAAGTTTGTAACAAGTATTTGACACGTTTGTCAGCCAATCACGGTGATTTGCTGAAGTAATTAAATTGTCCAAATGCTCGTTGCAAAAATTGAAAATGTGTTGTGACTGTTAGTCGTTGCAAACCGCAGTGAAACGGATGTTATATCTTAATGTAATATCAATTTTCTTATAGCTTGTCCTGGTTTACCAAACCCCTCTCCAGTGATTCCATTTCATTCACCTCCCCCATCACACACAGGATATGTAATCTTTGCTGAGAGGCCCACGTCTCTTGCTTGGTCACATGACGTTACAGGGGCACTACCCCCAACCACACCTAACATACTTCCAGGTATAGTTCCCCCCACCCATCCTGCAGTATTCGTAGGTCCTGGCCAGCAACAAACACCCACTTTAATCAGACACCCTGGACTCCCATACCAAATTGCACAACCTGCCCTCTCCCCCCTTAACATAAACTACCACTGGCCACCCCATATTATACCCCATAACCCAGGATTCCCACCACTCTTTGGACCACCAATGTATCATCGCCCACCAACATATACACATCCTATCCAACCTCATCTACCATTTATGCACCCTCATACACCATTTGTGCACCCTCACCCACCATTTATGCACCCTCACCCACCATTTATGCACCCTCACCCACCATTTATGCACCCTCACCCACCATTTATGCACCCTCACCCACCATTCATGCACCCTCCTATATTCCACCCTCCTATAATGCACCCCCATCCACCAATGTTTCACCCTGCACCAATACATTTTCACCCACCACACCATCATGTTCCAGTTATAATTCACCCACCTCCACAGCCAATCGTAGTTCACCCACCACCACCTCCCCCACCGAAGCCAAAGCCACCACCCCCCAAACCTAAACCTCCCCCCAAACCTAAACCTCCCCCCAAACCAAAAGGACCTCCTGGTAAGTTCATCTTTATTGACTTGGTATATAGACGGTGATCAATGTTGGCACTTGCGAATTAAACTGCATCTCAATTCTGTTTATTTTCCTCCATATACAAGACTACCGGTAGTGATGTTTTGAACCGTTGCAAAATTGCTCTCAGAGCTACAAACCTCCCTTGTAAACCTCGCAATTAATAAAAAAGAAACTTCAATTTATAAATACTAAAGTGTAATCTGGGTTTTCACCAAGAAACGGAGAATTTTAAAAAGCTTGAAAACATCAAGCCCTGGGCAAACTAGGAAACATTGTTGCGGAAACGTTGTTTCCTACCAATGTTTTGCCATGTTTCCCAGAGTGGGCAAACACTAGGAAACATTAGTGAGAAACATAGGGAAACATCAAATGTTTCTGAATTTGGTAGGAAACATTTTTGCTTCCCGGCAAGCAAATTTTGTTTCCGCAACAATGTTTCCACGGGTGGGCAAACAGGGAAACATTTGAGGAAACATCGAGAATCACAAATGTTTCCGCAACAATGTTTCCTAGTTTGTCCAGGGCTTCACTCTCCGATGGATAGCGGATTCGTACAAGCCCTGAATAAAGAATTAAACCATTCTTCATCATTTTCTTCATTGTTTTTCAGCGCCAAGTTATTCAGGTTCAGACGCTACTGCTGCTCAAGGAAACTCGCCTGGAGGTACATAGTTTATTTCCTACTTTATTATTGATTTTTGTTTTATCGTCTTTGTATCCACGCTTTGTGAGTGAGCTCCATATATGTCTAGAGTGAGGAGTAATGGAGCTATTGCAACTCAGTCCCTTTCTATTCTTTTGTCTGCAGTTTATTTAGCTTTGCCAACTAGGGCAGGGTCACCACAACAGCATATGCCAATTACTGTGGGCCCTTTTATACCTAACCCACCCTGTCAACTTTCCCTGTGGGAGGAAACCGGAGTACCCGGGGAAAACCCACGGCTTTCGGCAGAGTGTTGACTTTTACTCTTTTCGCATGGGGACTGGGTTCGAGTCGCACTGAGAAGGTACTTAGTGAGACTCGAACCTGCAGCCTCAGAGGTGAAAGGCAAGTGCGCTAACCACTTGGCCACCGAAGCCCCTCCAGTTGCAATGAGTGTGCCGAAATTTTGTGTTTTAACTTTGATTTAAAGAATAATACTATGGTTTTATGATTTGATAACTTATATGGTTCGTTGGAAAAAAACTTGAATTTGCTGGGAATAAATAGCTGGGAAAAATTAGCCTCGAAAAATGATATTAAACTGTGTACGACCTTCATAGATATTGGCTGTCAATTCTGCGATCTTCTTTCACTTTTCTGAAGTTCATGACTGATGTTCATGACTCCACATATATAGAGCTCATTGGCTGTAGTCGTCTTAAAACCAGTGAATGAAGATTGTATAATAATTATGATGTGATATTTCATTAGCTCCTCCTGGTCTACCGCCCTTGGTTGTCGTTGGTACTTCCAAGAAGAAATCAAACTTTCCTCTCTGGACAAAACATTCCAACTCAAGATTGAAGCAAGGCTAGGCTTGCGAGTTTCACTAAGCACAATTTGTGCTCAGCCTGCCGAGTAGAGAATCGTGTTGATTCGTTTAGAAAAATGATTGAGTGATTTATAGCCGGGTTTAATTAAGTGTCATCATTTCTAAGGTTTACCGCTGTCTGTAACATTTACTCAAATCCACCCAGAGTGGCCATGTTTTCCTCAGAGACTGCCACGAATCACAGATCCCAGCAAATTTAAAGACTCACATTATACCTTAATATATAGTATTATTAATATATAATATATTATTCGTCAACTTTAAAGCCTAACTTCAGAAAGATGATCTTCAATTTAACCAGCTGAGGTCTTTCATCGTAACATTAAACACATTCAATATAATATCATAAATTTCTGACTTGTAAATTAAACATATGGTTAAATATTTTGTAAAAACAACTGTTAGTCATATATACAAAGAAATAAAATATCATTTTTTAAACGTGTGTTTAATTTAGATTTATTGAAATAAATTTAAACTGATCGTATTCCATAAACTTTTCATACGTTTGTTTGTTGTTTCAATTTTTAGCATCTTGTTGTGTAACGCTTTAAAAGAATTTCTGCCCACAAAACTGTCAATTGTATAACGGCAATTTTATAACAACTTTTAAAACTAAAAACTTTTGAGAGCTTTCCAGATTTCCGCTTGAGAGAGCCCAACAGGTTGAATCATTTACGCTTTATAAATACGGCGGCATTCAGGGCAGTTCGTTTAAAGGAAGAAATAAAAAACAGTTTATTTAGAATGTGATAGTATCGTTATATCTTAAGGTCACTCGTATTATTTGGAGTTTCTCTTCACCCAAACATGTTAAAGAGAATATGGTATTAAGCTTTGTATTTTATTATGGGTTAATTGTATTTGCTTTGTGTGGTTTCTACAAGGAAAGTGATTTTTATGTTGATGCTCGTACCTTGGGGCTTCCAGAGACTAAATTGAACAGAGGTTGGTTCTTTTTCAATTTTTTTCCAGTCTTGTCAGTTTACATCAAAATCTTGTTTGAAAAGTGCTTGTTTTTTAGTTCTTAATTGGCTAGGATAGAATGACAGCATTTATTTATCAACCAATTTATTAATTAACCATTTTAGTATCCATGTGGAAAATCTGCCCATATCTGACCCTGTCTAACAGCAGATTATTTTATGCTGTCTTAGGTCAAGCTTTTTTTTACTCCGCCTAATAACATGTCAGTGAGGAATCCCTAGAAACTGCACGTAAAGATATAGTAAGTTGAGTCAGCAAGCTGCCTGATGCGAGCCTGTAATTACCTCTAACGGCAGATGATTTTACTCGTTAGTTAAAGACTCCTAAGAACTAATAAACTGCGTGTTTCGTACCCAGGCTCTTTCCTCTCACGCTCTTACCTCGAAAGATCTTGGAGGTTTGAACCACAGATAGTTTGAACCCTTTCACTGGCTTTGAAGCATTTCGTTTGTGTTACCCCACTTAACTTGAATTGAGAGATATAGAGAGACACTTACTAATCCTAATCAACAATATCTTCTTGATTTTGCAGTGAAATGTCAAGAGAAATTTAACATTGGATTTATTGTGGGCGGATTTCAAGATCCTTATTTTCAAGAGAGTGGAAAATTTCGCGAAACAATTGAGTTTCTAAAACGACTTTCGAACTCATTTCAAGCCAACTATGACGGAGTGGGAGTCGGGCTTATAACATATGGCTCATCTGCGCATGTCTCATTCGACCTCCATCCGTTCATAACTGCCGAACATTTAACGAAAGCGATCGACGAGTCGTCTGCGCCTGATGTCGGTGGAAATTTGGAGGATGGACTGCAAATGGGTAATGAATTCTGGCATTATTCACTGGCATCACGTGATAAAGTGTCGACTATAGTTGTTGTAAGTACTGATCTATAAAGTTTTCTGGATAGCAGGTTTTCCACTGATATAGACAATGAAGAGATGAATTTCGATATTAAGATCAGTAAAACTGGTCCATTGGGTGAACCAAACCTTATTTTAAAACAGCCATAACATTGGTTATACTAGACCAATTTTATTTTTTAGATTAAATGTTCCCACTAATATCACTAGCTGTGCAAAAATCTGGGCCATCTTAATGAAAGGAATGTTAATTCCTTATTTAAAACTTTTTTAAAACTTTTTAATACATTTTCTTGCTCTGATAACTGTCGTTGACCATCGTGTGTTAATGGTCACCATCGTGCGTTAATGGTTGACCATCGTGTGTTGACGGTTGTCTGTCAGGTTGACCATCGTGTGTTAATGAAACCTGCCAATGGATACTCATTCCAGATTATTTCCAGATCAGTGCTGGCAAGTCTACTGGCAATACAAAAGAGGCGAGTGACAAGTTAAAGGGACTCGATGTGGAAATATTTGCAATTGGGATCGGTGACGGAGTGGCAAAAACCGAATTAAATAAGATAGCATCACAGCCTGTTGCTAGTCATGTGTTTACAATGAACTATGGTGCATTGGAGATCTTGAGTTCATTACTGGCAGAAAAAATATGTGAAAGTAAGCTGCCCGAAGTTTAGTTGCTCCACAATTTTAAACTAAACTAACATTAGTTATCCTGGATAGCTCCATTGGTTCTAAATTGTTTATTATTAATCTTTTAAGGCGCTAAAAAACGAAGACTCTCAAAAGGTAATGATGGAAACATCACCAAAAATGGAAAACCCAAGCACCTTGTGGAACTGAGCAATGGTCAAGGACAAAGTCGTAGTAATGGTGCTTCCAATAATGGTGGAAGTACCAGCAGCAGTGGTGGAAGTAATACTGGGGGAACTGGTACTGTTGGCACAGGAGGAGGTAGTTCTACTGGCAATGGTGGTGGGGGAACTGGTACTGTTGGTACAGGAGGAGGTAGTTCTACTGGCGGTGGTGGTGGGGGAACTGGTACTGTTGGTACAGGAGGAGGTAGTTCTACTGGCGGTGGTGGGGGGGAACTGGTACTGTTGGTACAGGAGGAGGTAGTTCTACTGGTGGTGGTGGGGGAGTTGGTACTGGGGGTAATACTGGTACTAATGGTGGTGGTGGTACAGCTGATGTTGGAGGTGCAGGGAATGCTTTAGGTGGGGGAGGTAGTAGCGCTGAGAATGGTGGTAGTGCTGGTGATACAGGAAATGCGGGTGGTGGGAACAGTGGCGGTGGGAACAGTGGCGGTGGTGGAAGTTCCAGTGGTGGTGGGAGAGGTAAGGGTGGTAGTACTGATGATACAGGAAATGCGGGTGGTGGTGGCGGTGGTTCCAGTGGTGGTGGAGGAGGTGGAGGTTCCAGTGGTGGTGGGGGAGGTTCCATTCCAGTGGTGGTGGAGGAGGTGGAGGTTCCAGTGGTGGTGGGGGAGGTTCCAGTGGTGGTGGGGGAGGTGGAGCAGGAGGTAAAGGTGGTGGGGCTGGTGGTGGGGGAGGTGGAGCAGGAGGTAAAGGTGGTGGTGGGCGCTGGTGGTGGGGGAGGTGGAGCAGGAGGTAAAGCTGGTGGTGGGGGAGGTGGAGCAGGAGGTAAAGGTGGTGGTGCTGGTGGTGGGGGAGCAGGAGGTAAAGGTGGTGGTGGGGCTGGTGCAGGAGGAGGGAAAGCAGGGGGAGCTGGTGGTGGGGGAGGAGGAAAGGGAGGTGCAGCTGGGGGTGGAGCGGGAGCTGGTGGTAAAGGTGGAGGAAAAAGTGGAGCGGGTGGAGCTGGTGCAGGCGGAAAGGGTGGTGCTGGAGGAAAAGGGGGTGCTGGTGGAGGTAAGGGTGGTGCTGGAGGCGGAGGTGGTGGAGACAAGAAAAAAGGTAAGCGTAGGTTTTGTCAGTTAGTGGGTTTCGGCAAATTGTTGGAAGATTATGCTTAGCGAAACCTACTTATTGATGTCAAAGATTGTAAAATAAAGTTATTATCTTGTTCACTATTTGCTATATTCACTGTTGCTTTACAGAGTTTCTATCAGTTTATATTAACACACGACATTTCTTGCAGAACCTCCCAAAGGGTACCTCATACCACAGACATCCTTGAGTGCATTCGGACCAGCCATGTTACCAATGCAAGCAGAACCAATGGGAACACCAATCAAAGATCCACAACTACCCTTACTCTTTCACCCTCAGACACAGCCATTGATCTCACCTATCCAAGCAGATCCTACAGCGATCCTAGGTCACCATCAAGCACCATATATGATGAACCCGTTCTCAAACATTCCACTAGCACCAGTAGAAAGTGACCCAACCATTCTACCATCCAGTCATCCAGATCTACCGCTCATGGCCAGACCTCAGTTACAGACCCCACTTTCACCAGTACAGATGGATCCAGGAATCTTGCCACAGCATTTAGAGATGCCACATTTGACAAGCGGTCTACCACGGCTTGCACCAGCGCATATAGAACATATCAATACACCATTGATACATGACTTTGATAGACCACTTCTGGCTCACACACAGTTTCACCCTCTACTAGAACCCGCTCATGTGGAACACATTGCTCGACCAATTGGTGATTCAACTCCTCCACTCCTTGCAGTACACCAGTTTCATCCAATACTCTCCCCAGTCCACATTGAACACACATTACGACCATATGCAGACACCACTCCACCTCTAATGGCTCAACACCAATTCCATCCCATGTTATCCCCTACACACATAGAAGGACTTAATAGACACTATATGGACACTACGTTACCGTATATTGCACAAAACCAAGGACATCCAATGTTATCACCCTCACATATTGAAGGTATGGACCGTATTCATTCTGATCGAACTCCACCCTATATCACACATCAAGAATTTCATCCATTACTTTCACCAGCACATATCGACGATGCACACCGACATATGGACCACTCCCCACCCTTAATGGCACACCCCAATATCAATGCAGGACCTCTGTTTACCCCAGGGTTTGTTGAACCCCATTATTCACCGCAAATTGACCACTCCGCTCCATTCCTTGCTCACCCAAATGTACATCATAGTCACCTGTTAACCCCTGGATTTGTCGATCATATGCATGCACCTCAAATTGAACATACACCTCCCTTTATGGCACGTCCGGATGTACACAATAGTCCTCTCCTATCCCCTGCATATGTTGATGTTCCTCATACACCACAAATTGACCACACCCCACCATATATGGCTGGTGCACGTGATGGTCACCTGATAACCCCTGGGTTCATTGATTCCCCTCATAACCCTCAGATAGAACATACATTACCCTTCATGGCACACCATGATGCTCATAATGTCCCCCTCTTATCCCCTGCCATGGTCAGTGGTAGCTATGTACACCAAGACCATAGTGCACCACTTCTATTATCACATATCCATGCAGGATCCCACCTCTTATCCCCTGCTATGGTGAGTGGTACACATGTGCTTCAGAAAGATCATAGTTTACCCTTTCTTTCATCACATATCAATGGAGGACCCCATCTTCCCCTCTTGTCTCCTGGGATGGTGAGTGGTACACATATAATACAAAAAGACCACAGTTTACCCATGTTTAGTCATACCTATACTCATAATTCACCATTTATGTCACATGGAGGTTCCTCCTTATCCTACGGTATCCATAGTGGACATTCATTTGGCTTCGGTCGTAGTAATGTACCTAAAGCTCAGTATGTACCTACACAACACCATAGATCTATGAAAGACCATGATGTTCATATCTGACCCTATCTGGAAAAGACAGCTTTCCACATCAGAATCCGCGAACACGTGACGTATGGACGGAATATTTAATTTAATGCAGTTAGGACATCAAACCTATAATATTCCAGATCAAAGTTTTGCGTCTTCAGATTATCCATAAGTATAGGAATATATAGGAAGAATATTTAAACAAACACCGTATATTTATTTTTATATAAAATATTTTTCATGTTTAATATAGTCACTATTGTACATAAATAAATTTGATATAGTCCGTTCTTTGTGATATAATTATGGATATTTGGTGCGAGAACCTGTCGCAAGATATTTACATTATGTGTTGAACCATTGCACTACTCATTAGGTAAAAAAGCGCTGCTTATCAAAGACGGGACGCGATTCCGCAACGCGGTGAGATTTTTTTGTTTTTGAAAGTAAATAAACCGTCTAGGAAAGATGTAGAAAAAGTCGAAATGTTAGAACAAAGTTATATATCTGTTAGCGAGAATGGAGAAATCGCGCCGCATTGCAAATTCGCGTCAGGTGACTGGCTCGTTCTTGAAACTTTGTTTCCCACTTCAACTATACTGTGCCAAAACCTAGCATATTTGTTTGTTTTCTAGCATGGAACGAATTTCAATACAAATAAAACTTTTTTAAGGTTCATTTACACAATATGGTCAAACTGGAAACAGGCCAAACCCTTTCAATAAACTGACAAGGGCATTCTGCTAAGATCCTATTCCGATCTTCTTTATGAAGTCTTGACATTACTCTTAGTCTTACTCTCATTATCTTTGATCTTACTCTCTTTGCTTCTTTTTATCGTGCCCATATACATTCTCATATCTATCCCTGCTGTATCACCCATACCACCCTTCATTTTCCCGTAACCCATACCACCCTTCATTGTACCGTAACCCATGCCACTTTCCATTCCGGAGTCAGCACCTGTCGCAAAATTTTGACCATTGTGGATACGCATGCTTTTGTCTTCGTTCATTCCACCAAATTCTGAGCCTGGCATCGCCTTCTCTCCGCTCATGCCAGCATTCGTATCCACGCCACCTTGCTTCATTCCTGTTGCCACGTGCATATCATGGTTCATCTCGTCTCCTCTGGAAACACAAGTGTTTGTATTGAAAATCAAGCGTATGGATTGTGTTACAGTGGTTGTGCTCTTATTCCTGTACACACCTCAAAATCTCACAGCCAGTTGTCAACACAACAGTTGACAAGTCTGGAACAAGTTGTTATCACCTTTTAACAAGGTTGATGAGGCTCACAACAACTTGTTTGCACATCTGTTATGCACTTGTCTGATGTCTTTAATGGTTAATGCACTTGTCTGATCACAATTTCACACGCGAGAACCCAAAAACAGACCGCAAGCTTTCTTCAAGCGTTCTTATAGTTTCATCATGTCGTAACACTGGACCAATACGTACTTAACTGGACCTTTACAGAAACTTTAAAAGTAATAGACCTATCTAGGATAAATAAAGAGGATTGTCTAAATTGCGGGTTGTTGCCTCGTTCCCCGGGCTTTCGTATGAGGACGAGCGGAGAGACGTCTCTTCCCTCCAGTCCTCCTCGTACGAAAGCTCTGGGAATGAGGTTGGGGTCAGGTTTATGATTTTTTTTGTCTAAAACGAGATAGTCGTCTAAAACTGTAAAACAACATAAAAATGACCAAAACGGAGCCAAAAATTTTGATGATCTTGTGAACCTGCAACTCAGACTCTCCGTAAATAAATTTATTTTCTCGTAGAAACTCACGCATTACAAGCACCACACGATTTCTGACAATAATTTCGAATGACAGGATTTATTTTCCCTTCCACTGAGTTGCACATTCCTTGTTTAGCCATAGACTGACATTCTTCAAAGTACATATCATCACAGATATCTGCAAAGGTTCAATCGATTGATCACAAAATTAACCCTCAAAAAGGTACTAACCTATATTTGGTGCGCGAACCTCCTGTATCCATGGGGTCCCCCTGTATCCATGGGGTCCCCCTTGCACAGAAATGGCGGGAAAAATGTCTGCCAAAAGAATAAGTAAATATGGGAAAACGAAAAGCGTTTACCTCGGCGTTTACCATAAGAAAACGGCTGAAGCTATAAAATAGGGAATTTCACCGCTGTTTTTTTTGTCAAGACGATAGTATACTGAGTTTCGTGGTGACAATACTATTTCCAGCTTTTTGGACATGTGCTTTGGGAGAGAATCAGACAAATGCCCACGTGAAACGTCTTGGCCAATCAAAATGCTAGAAATGAAGAGCCAACCAATCAGGTTGCTTCCTGGCGAGCTCTCGCGCTGTCAGCCTGTCAACCCCTGTCATTAAATTGACAAATTCCATTTATTTCACCATGTGGGAAGTTAAAACATATAAATAAACCGTTTAAAATACAGCAAGTGGTTGAAATTTATGAACAGTGCAAAGGTCGACACTCTAGCAACAATTAGCAGTAAATTGAAGTCGCTCCGGAGTGGACCGTGGCATGTTTTTGGTGAGTATATTTGTCGATAGTTTGACAGTGCATATATTAAACTTGTCGTTATTTGTGCTTCAAAAACTCATTAATAATTCATGAGGAAAAAACAAAGAAAAATCATAAGAGCGTGTCGTATCTTTATATGTGATATATTGTAGTTTGCAAACATAAAAATGTTAGTGTTTTCATTTTGTGGCAGGGAGTAGCCTCAATAGGTATTTATAAACCATTTTGGTTGTAAAAGAAGTGGGGGGGGGGGGGACTCGGGTAGTCGGGGAGAATAGGGGCCTTTAATTTATGCCCTTTTCCCAAACCTAACCATGCAATGGGCAATTAAGGCTAGCTGTTTTATATGTCAAATTTCGGTCGTGTCAAATGTAATTTTAAACAATAGATAATGAAACTTAAATTAATGTCTAATGAGGTTTATTATCTATTGTTTGAATTGCATTCGACACAACCAAAATTCGACGTATAAAACAGGCCTAAGTGCAATAAAGTGCACTTTTCTATATAGCTATTTGTTCTTAATATTTACTTTGAGCTTCGTTAGCCAAAAATCCATCAAAAGCCTTCATTCGTTTGGGATAACGATGTGATAAAACATTAGCAAATTCCATGAGTTCTTCATTTCTTGGTGAGCTAAATTTTGCAGTGGCCATTTCAAAGTTTCCGCCCCCTATCGGCATTCCATCTTGACAGTGCTTGATGCAGTAGTCATTTGTCTGCATTACAGAAGGACCTGCATTAATATACAGGCAATATTAGCTGGTATACAAGTTGATTCACAAATGTGTTAAGGATTATATATAAGATTGTCAGACATAATCCTGAGAGCTTCCAGTATTTTGGCACCACCCGATGTATATGTATAGGTAGATTTATCTTAAGGTATGTTTACACACGACGATTAATCGAGGCCAATTCTGCTTTAATTAAATTATATTTGAAAAAAATATGTATACTGGGTCATATCTGGTGATATTACCAACTGACAACAATTGTCACAAAACCTGTCATTAGCCCGATTAATCATTGTGTGTAAACGTTGCTTTATTGAATGGACAAATATTTTTAATTCTCAGAGAAAGCTACTTACTGTCGATACAGAATCCACATGTCCTAATTTGGATATCTATACATAACAAATGAGATAATTTGTTTACAGTTGCTTGTAGTTATTTTTGGTTTTTGGATATTTGCAGTTGTGTGTCTGTTGATTGTGAGTTGTAGTTGTTTGTGTTTGAATTTCTTGGTATATATCCACTCACTATACACACTCACCTCGGATGATACGGTCAACAAAGAGTTCATAACGTTGTTTTAACTGCGAATAATCTTCAAGTTTAAAAAGATGTCGAAACATTGGCTCACTTGCCACATGTATCAGATCTAATTTACCAAAATCTTTTCCAATCCCTATTCCAAACACATTAACACCAGCAGTTTTCAAACGCTTACTTGGCGTGTACACATCATCAGCAGCGGTTGTTGCTGTGACAACCACAAGCACATGTTCGACTGTTGCTCGAGCAGAAGGACCTTGAAATAGAGTCAAGGCAAGGGATAAACCTCTGCCCATCATGGATGCAGGTGCATCTTTTCCAGGAGAGCCGACTTTGAGCTGTTTAAACAAATCGTCCAATGACTGGTCAAGTTCTTTCTTGGAGTGACAGCAAAACAAGCCAAACTGAATACGTGCATCATCATTGAATGTGATCACTCCAACGTGTGCTTCTTCAAATGAAACTCGATATTTCTTTGATGAGTCTTTGATAAAGTCAATCATTTTCTTAAAGTTTGTCTTGCCAACATTACGTGATGCATCAAGCACATAGATAACATCCATAACAACTGCATGAATGAGAATAGATATTGAGTAATCACATACTTATAGGAATCAAGTTGCAAGCTATACATAACTGTCTGCCAGTGTAGGTAGTGCCAATATTAATAACAAGCTTTTGCTCATAGGGAAGGAGAATTTCAACATTTTGAGAGAATGCCTTTGTCTGGAGTTATTAGCCAACTCCAGACAAAAGGCCTTCGCTCGAGACTCTCCTTATATTTTTCAGGTAGCTGCATCAATCCCACCAATGTGCTCTCACAGGCTGATGCACCCTACTTTATTATTTTACTCTGTATAACACTATAACACCATATGATTTTAGGGGAAAGTTCTGGCACTCAAGTAAAATAGTGTTGCATTATTAAATAACAAAGTAGGGAGCATTAGAGTACAATGTAGCCTAACAGGTTAATCCTTGGTGGAAGTACTGCAAAACATTAAAACTAATTTTATTATGTCATGCAAACTTACCAGAAGTGGCATCCTTTTGATTTTTTTTGCTATATTCCTTGTCTTTGTCAGATGCTGGGCCAGAGTTCACACCATTCTCAAAACCATTCAGTAATGGGACATTCAAATCACCTTTGCCTGTTGGAACAAATTAATATCAATGTAATACAATTGAGTCAAGGCAAGCAACTCAGCTAGTGAAGGTAACTATATATGTTTGTACTTTTCAAGGGGAGAGGGCAGCTGCCACTCAATGGTTTAATATGTAAAGCATGAGCATGCAGCCAATAATTATTTGGAGTTACTGTTCTTTTGAGCTGCCAATATGCTTCTGATTTACAAAGACAAGCCAAGGGATTGCAGTTGTAATTCAAATACAGCCAGATGTGAATACATACTGTATATTATACTTTATACTTAAATTACTATAGTACATTACCTTGACTTAAAACATTATAAAATGTGTCCATTGCCTTCAATCTCTTTGGGTAAAAGTGTGCAATTAGGTGAACTGCTTCACCAGATGTCTTAAACTCGCTTGGTTTGTCTGATGCAAACTTCATTAATGCCATTATTCCAGCACCAAGTGGCGACGTTGCTTGACAGAACTGAACACAGTAAGGGTCACTTTTCATACGCTGTGGGTCTAATATAATTTTAGAAAATAATTAATTTCTGCTACTCTGGGTATGCAAGAATGAAATAAAAAACTGCTAAATCCAGTCTTACCGCTTATGCACAGACCACATGTTTGTATCTGAATGGCTAAGAAATAAAACAAGATATTTGAGCACAGGATAAGATTCCATCTGCCAAGGAATAAGCATAATTTCTTCTTGAGGACTCAAACTAAATAGCTGAACATACCGTACACTGTACCTAACTTTGTCTGATTGAGTTCCATAATTAGCTCAATTGTCAGAACATCAGACTAGCAATACTTCAGGGTTTATGCTCTGTGTGGAACATTCTGCACAACTTGCACAATCAATGTATCAAATATGATCAATTGTTGATACTTACTTCGTACAATTCTATCAATAATCAGCTGTGCTCTCTTGCCTAAATCACCAAAGTCCTTTACATGAAAGACGTGTAAAAACGTTGGTAGACTGCTCATCTCCAGTACTTCACTTTGGCTGAAATCTTTTCCAACACCAATAGTAAATATTTCAACTCCTGCATTACGAAGATGTTGACTTGGTGTCATAATGTCGTCTGCTGATGTCACTGATGTAACAATTACCAATACTTGTGCTACATGTCGTCGTCCAGTAGGACCATTAAACATATACCATGCCAGCTGTAGTCCTTTTCCTATGGTACCAGCAGGTGTATTTTTGGGCTTAGCTGGTGGTTTATAACTCAAGATTTGTAGCTCAACAGTTTTGTCAAATGCCTTCAAATCACTGCAGCAGTAAAATCCAAATAATATTCTTGCATCTTCACCAAATTTTATAACTCCAATTCTAGTTTCATGGAAGCCATATGTAAAACCATGACTTACAGATTTCACAAATAACAGTATTTTACCAAAGTTGATCATTTGGACACTTGTTGATGCATCAATCAGGAATATAATGTCCAACATTGCTAAATATTGAAATATTTTGTTAGTCTTTGGCAGCCAGAATTCCTGAGCTGTGTTTATTATATCTATTATCCTATTATGATGATCAAGATCTATTGACTAATTTAATCCTACCTGAAAGCATTTCTATATATCTAACACACACCTGAAACAGCATTCACAGAACCTCTTCTTGCTCCAGCTGCCCCTCCACCCCCTGCCCCACCACCACCTCCCCCGCCACCACCTCCAGCACCTCCTCCAGCAGCACCACCTCCAGCTGCACCTCCTCCTGCTGCACCTCCGCCTCCTGCACCACCAGCTGCACCACCTCCACCAGCTGCACCACCTCCAGCTGCACCACCTCCACCAGCTGCACCTCCTCCTGCTGCACCTCCTCCTGCTGCACCTCCGCCTCCTGCACCACCAGCTGCACCACCTGCTGCACCTCCTCCTCCAGCTGCACCACCTCCAGCTGCACCACCACCTCCTGCACCTCCTCCAGCTGCACCTCCAGCTGCACCACCTCCTGCTGCACCACCTCCAGCTGCTCCTCCTGCTGCACCACCTCCAGCTGCTCCTCCTGCTGCACCTCCAGCTGCACCTCCTGCTGCACCTCCAGCTGCACCTCCTCCAGCTGCACCTCCTGCTGCACCTCCGCCTCCCGCACCACCAGCTGCACCTCCGCCTCCTGCACCTCCTCCTGCTGCACCTCCGCCTCCTGCACCTCCTCCTGCTGCACCTCCGCCTCCTGCACCACCAGCTGCACCACCTCC